TTTTAAAACCACGATGGTGTCGGCAAATGTTTCGCTCAGGCTGGGACGACAGCAGCGAGTGGATGACAGTCAGTAACTGACTTTAAAGTAAAAGTTGTGCCTTTTGAAATGTGTTCACAGCAGTGCTGAGACGTAACGTTGAAGGCTAACGCTCCCTGTTTCTGATTCGCATCGCACTTTTTCAGGTTTAGCTTGACTAACTACAGCTCAGCTCATAGTTAGCAAGTGTCTTAGCCATCTGCGAGTGAGCAAAGCAATCACCAAGAGGTTTTTGGTGTAACTGATTTCACCTGGTGACAGCGAACCACCTCCAGGAATCCCAAACAGTGAGAGAACACTCATTTTTCAGATAGTTGTCGACTGGTTATTTCATACAACAATCAATCATGTATACGTGGAGGGATTAACACCTTCAATGTACCTTCAATGGACTGTTCAAAGTATTACCTATTGTAAACTCTCAGCTCTCACTGTGTATGTATGAGTGAGAGCCTGATGCATACACAGCTGGATAACCACTGCAATCCAACATCTTATTCTACCCAAATCAGCAGGAAAGGAGAAAAATTCCACATTTCTGTCCTCAGTCACTGTTGGAGCATAAAATCAGCTAAATGCTTAACTGTGAGGTACGGGTGCCTGATGGAATTATTTGCATAATAATAATGCTAATAAATAACTATGAGCCGCTGTATCTAGATCAGTTGGCGGTTGAGATCTGGTGACCAATACCTGCAGCTACAGTGTGTGGTTTTGTGTGTTGAGCACTTACAGTTTAGGGATGCAGCTTTAGTTGACTTACAAAGTTAGCGCTCCAACTTTGTCACTTCTGGCATCCATTAAGCTAAATATAGGCCACAGACCAGTGGCTACTTTCATCGTTTACACAGAACTCATGAGTCATTCCTCATTTCTTAAAATTTGCTTTACAAAAGACAGACTTCCTTGTTTGTTGAAGCACTCAACACTGATTACGACTCATTCAAACATAAAAAGGCACCAAACTCAAGCACTGTTGTGTCTACTCAGACAACTTGGCAAAGAACCAGTTTTAAATCATATCTTGTTGTTAGCGGTTATTTGGATATCTGTTTATTCTCATTTCTTTAGTTGAATCTATGATAACACAGTCTGACAGGCATAAAATGGTACTTTTGCACCAACAAGGTGGAAACGTGGCATATCTCAGCACGGTGTGCGACTGACACAGTGGCAGATGAAGAGTTTCTCAACATCATGTCCTTAAGAAACAGAATTAAACGCAGCAAAGAGCAGAAACAGGACCTGAGAGATGCATCTGGCCCCAGTTAAAACACCCCAGTGTGGATTTTAAAGCCAGTAATTGTGACCATAAACGACCTGCTTTTTTTGGCCAACACCAATATAAAAACACATGATGTCAATAAATTCAAATGTAGTATTTTTTAAACTCCAGTCTTTGAAAAGCTTTCCAGATCCACAACACTGATACTATGTTCATATTTCTTTACACATGTAACACAAACACATGCACTTTTGTAATAAAATGAGACCCAGACGTCCTCATTAAAACGCATGGTCGGACTAATTAATAATGGACAAAATCCTCTGAACATTTAAAGGCAGGAGGTCAGGTAAAGTTGCAAACCTTTGCACAGCTTCTTGTAGTTGGTACAACAGTCTCCTCTGGCCAGACAGTCATCAGAGCAGTGGCAGGCATGCTGTTCATTGCGAGTCTCCCCGCACCGATCCTTACTGCATTCATAACCGCCCTCTGTGAACAAGAAGAACATGAATCAATGAGGTTTAAGACGCCAAAGCTTTCTACGTGCACAGCTTAGCTGGAAGGTTAGTGGTGAAACCAGTGAAAAATGAAAGCTGAGATATTAATGTGACAGCGGTTTGGCTGCAGACTGAGTGGGAAGCAGCATGCGAGCAACAATGGTGATGCGGTCTGTGCTTGAACATTCCTCAAGCTGAAAAACATCCAAAGAAGGATTTGACAGAGTCAGGAAAAAGACGCAGGCGACCAGAAAAACAAGTGAATTATTGC